CCCCAACCCCTGCATGGACGAATGATCATATTGCCCAGTGTATACATCCACTGCACGCACTGCACGGACACCCTGGCGACACGGGTCATCCGCTCGTGCATTGACCGTACCCACATGCCAGCCCTTACAATATCATTTTTTCTCAAGAAGGCCAACTTAAGCCCAAAAGCCAAGTGAAACACGCTTACCGTCATCGTCGCCGCCGCGAACGCGGTCGCAGCCGCAGTCGCCACCGCTTATTGTCCTCGTCGTCGTTCTGGTCGTCGTTGTCGGCTTCGGCCTCGTCGTTGTCGTCGTCGTCGGCCTCGTTGGTGTCGGCTTCGTCGTCGTCGTTGTCGTTTGGCGCGGGGGGGCCGAGGCCGTTACCCCGGAGATGAGCGCTGCCTGGATCGCCTGGGCCTCGTCGGCGGCCTTCCCGCGGAGGGGGCGGTGTCATCTTCCTCTTGTTCCTCCTCCTCCTCCTCCTCTTCCATCTCCTCCCCCTCCTCCTGCGAAAATGATCGCAGAATCGTCCAATGTAGCTGAACGGCGCAGAAATGTCGTACTACGGATTCACAGAATGTAAACCGAACCAACGAAAGCGACATTAGAATACGTCACGCCTCATCTGAGCCTTCGTGTTTCGGCTGGCGAGGGGACGTGCCGACACGTAGTGCTGGGGGCGTTGTAGGGCCAGGGTCGCTGCCACGAGACGACTGCCGTACACTGTGCTTCGATGATGAAGAGCAAGGACGGCATGAACACATCAGCATGAACAAAAAGAGCAGACGTGGGCAAAGCGCTTCAATATCGGGAAACAAATTTGCTACAGAGCCGCAACTCAGGAATTAAAGAGCCAGGGCGCTTTCGACCATATCATTGCCCGGAGAGTATAGAAAAAACAAATGCGTAACCACCCAATGTAGTTTGGCGACGCGGAAATGTCGCATCACCGCCACACATAATAGACAGCAACGTTACGAGCTCAGCCATCATCAGGGCAAGCCTCAGCTGAACATCCATGGTTCGGCTGGCGCGAGACTGGTCAAAGAAATGCCGATACGGAACACTTACAACAACGCACCGGTCGGAAACGCAACAGGAGTCATTGTAGTGCCAGGGTCGTTGCAGCGCCAAGGTCGTCACCAAACGATGATTTATGCAAGCTGTGCTTTGATGGTGAAGGGCATGCACTGCGTTGAACGAGTATGGTTATAAAGAGAAGACTTGCGCACAGCGCTTCAAGATTGCTAAACCTCCTCCTCATCCTCTTCCCAACTCGTCGTCCTCCTCCTCCCAGCTCGTCCTCAGTCTTCTCTCCTCGACACGTTCTCCTCATCAGCCTCATCCTCATGCTTCCGCTCTTCCTCATCCTCGCCCTCCTCCTCCTCCTCCTCCCCTTTTTAATATTCCTTGTATTCCTCCGCCTCCTGCCTGCCAATTTCCTGATCCTCATCCTGCTGGTGCTGCTCATCCTCCTCCTCCTGATGTTGCTGTTGTTGTTGCTGCTGCTGCTGCTGCTGCTGCTGCTGCTCCCCCCCCTCCTCTTCCTCTCCCTCCTCCTTCTCCTCCTCCTCTTCCTCGTTCTCCTTCTCCTCCTCCTCCTCCGATCTCGCGTTCTCCTCCTTTTCTTCCTCCACCTCCTCCTCCTCATCCTCCTCCCCCTCTCCCTTCGCAGGACGCAGGATTGCGACAGTGTCAGGGTGATCCTCGATGTAAGACTGCCCATTCCCATTGCCTTCGCCTGAGGGACAAGAAAGAAGAGAGCACCGCGTGGGTAGAAGACACATAGGGAACAACCGAAAGACGGAAATGCTCAGGCAGATGGAAAAGGTTGCGGCACCGGTGGGAACTCCACGGAGCTCGCTGCCCCCCAGCTCCTGGTGGATGCCTTGTCTGTGCGGGTCTGTGTGCCCTGGCCCGCCTGGATGCATAGAGGGCAGAAAATCCCCCCTCCCCACAATAAGCAGCGAAGCTGTGTGGTAAACGCATCCAAGGAAGGAGTCGAACAGGGCAAGGCTGTTTGGTAAACGCCCAGGGCCGTTTAGTGAACGCGACCTGTCGGGGTCTAGGTGGTTCTTCTCCCTCGAATGTAACACCCTATTCGATCATGGCCGTGCTGTGGAGTGCCATGTGGTCTCCTGTTTGATGGCATTGCCGAACTAGTCTCTGAGGTGCTGGTCGCGGCTTCCAGCAGTGGTTCATTCTCTGTGTGCCTCCTCCAACGAGTTACGCAGTGTATCCTGACGTCTGCTGGCCCCTCTGGAATGTTTGGCGCTGATGCTGGATGACTTCGTACTGCCCACGCTGTCGACCCCGCCAGTCGAGCCCTCCCTGCTCTTCTGGGTAGCCCGCCTGAGCATGATGGGGGACAGCTCGGGCGTGCTTTCTTTGATAATGGCTTGTGGCTTCCAACAAGCGTTTCCGGGGTCCTTCTCATGTCCGTGCATTTGCGTCAGGGAAGTATGTTCGGCAAGGAGTCTCTATGTACGTATATTTTGCGTAAGGCTGCTGCGGCGTCTTTTTTGCTGGGTTTGTTCATCTCGCTCTGGGTGTGATAGTCTACGTCGTGGTAGCTGCAAGTGCCAGGTGACGCTTCTCCGATGAATCCTGCATGTCGCTGGTGCGGGTGCAGAGTGATGCTGGTTGCTATTCGTTTACTCACGAGCACAACGACACGCACACTAGACAAGTCATCTGCTCTTCCGAGTGGTGGTCGTCACTAGTGATGCCCATGCGTAGCTGGGTGTAACATTCTGTATGCAGCTGCGTTTTCTTAGTGAATATAGCGGCCGTGTCGAAGTGGCACACGGCTTTCTTATTGGTCTCTTCGGGCACATTGCGGAAATTACTGACGTCCCTCAGTCGGTCTTGGGTGGGCAGACGGTTCATGAGAATTGCCTCGGCTACTGAGATCCTCGCGGTGGAGCCGTCGATTGGTAACCCTGCGTTGCTGTTCTTGACGCTGTTGATGGCGCACGGCTGCGGCATATGTAGCCTGTTGTCACTGTTGTCCTTCAAATGTTGCAGGCAGCGCGCTGCTTCGGTGGTTCTTCCCACCCGGTGTGGTGGATGGCCTTGCTCTTGCGCACAAGCACGGCTCATGGAATGAACGCATCGACTAGCTGCTGATGCTTGTAGTTGTTGCGAACAGCGTCGTGGTATTCCGGCTGATCGTCTCCTCAGTCAATATTGCTCTAGTCGCGCTTCCCCCTTTCTGGTATATGTTTCTCGTTATGTTGAACCCAATGCTACTTGTCCTGCTTCCAGCGCGCCAGAACCCTCTTTGGTGGCTCCTGGCTGGGCCTTGGGTTTTGGTGCTGGTTTCGGTGACGGTTGTGCTGTGGTGGGTCGGATGGTGGGTCGGTGGGTCGAGTATGCCGTCAGCGCCATGGCGGCAGCTTGAATGTGAGGTTGGGGTGGCTGCCGTGCGCCATGGTGGTTGACGATCAAAGCTCGCGCGTTGGCCACGCTAAGCACTGCTCGCGCGTCGGCACCTCCACAACCACCTGTACCAGACAGGGCTGCGGGACATGGCCCCAACGGGGATGAGAGAGGAAACAATCAGGGGAGGGGGATTTTGACATGCCATCGAGTCCACAGCGCTGGGAGAGGGGCTTACGACGCGCTTGCCACCGCAACGAAGATGAGGTCCTGTACCCCGCAGGAACCTTTCGAGCGCTCGCGGTGTTCCTCGGGGTTCCCTAGTCTTGTTTCCTTACTGCGGTGCTCCTCGGGGTTTCCTTGTCTTGTCTCCGTACTGTGGCGTTCCTCGGGGTTCCCTCGTCTTGTTTCCTTACTGTGGCATTCCCTGGGGTTGCTTGGTCTTGTCTCCTTATTGTATTCCTTGGGTTACTTGGCCTCGCTTCCGGACTACATTCATCGGGTTGCTTAGTCTGCTTCCTTGCTGCAATCCCAGCGTTGCTAGGTCTTGTGCTGCGTTCCCTGGATTGCTTGGTCTTGCCCCCAAGCAACGCCAAGCAACAACAAGCCACGCCAAGCCATGCCGAGCAACGCCAAGCAATGCCAAGCAATGCCAAACAACGCCAAGCCAAGCCACGCAACGCAAAGCAAGACCGAGCAACGCCAAGCAAGACCGAGCAACGCTAAACAATGCCCTGCACAAGGAAGCTGTCCTCTAATTGGGATCGCGCCGGGTTCATCCTCCTCCTCCTGCTCCCTCTGCTGCTCCTCCGTATCCTCCGCCCTACTCCTTCGTTTCCCTGCTTCCTGTTTCGTATTTACCGCATTGTGATCAGCACTGTTTGTGATTGCTGCTAACAGCCATTTGCGTTTACCTCAAACCTGAGCACGCTCGTCGCCCGCTGATAGCCCTCTTTCTCCTCTTCCTCGTCCTCATACTCTTCCTTTTCCTCATCCCCCTCGTCATTTTCCACCTCCCCGTTGCCGTCGTCCTCCTCACCTTCCTCCTCATCATCTTCTTCCTCATCTTCCTCCTCCTCCTCCTCCTGCATCTTCTCCTCCTCGTCCTCCTCGTCTTCCTCCTCCTCCTGCTCCTCCTTCTCTTCCTCTTCCTCTTCCTCTTCCTCTCTTCCTCCTCCTCCTCCTCCTCCTCCTCCTTCTCCTCTTTCTCTTTCTCCTCCTCCTCCTCCTCCTCCTCCTCCTCTCCCTCCTCCCCTTTCCTCCATCTCCGAACGTATTCAAGAGAATCCGAACACCTGCAGGTCCAAACCTCCCAGAACCACCATGACCTCACAAACATTGCGAACCCGCGGGCGCCTCCAGGAAAATCATGACCGAAAGCAGTCGTCACGAAACTGGCAAAAGCATATCCCCGTCCGCTTCCTCCTCGCCCTCATCCCACTGAGTTAGATACTGTTCCTCCTCCTCCACCTTTTTTCCCCCTCCTCCCCCCTCGTGCTCGATCCTCCTCTCCCCTGCTCCTCCTGCTCCTCCCTCCCCCTCCCACGGGGGAAGGCCGCCGCCCTTCGAGCGCGCACGCCACGGCCGATGGCGGCACGCCTGCGAGGCGCCCGCCGCGCGGGGCGCGCGCGCGGCCCTCACCGCACCCGCCGCCGCAGCCGCCAGGCGCCGCAGGACGGCGATGCGGTCCGCTCGCGGCCGCTCTTTCGGCCCGCCCACGGCCGGCAGGCAGGAGCCCAACATCCTCCTCCTCCTCCTTCTCCTCCTCCTCCTCCTTCTCCTCCTCCTCCTCCTCCTCCTCCACTCCCTCTTCCCCTCCCCCCCGCCCCCTCCTCCTCCTCCTCCTCCTCCTCCTCCTCCTCCATCTTCTCCTTCCCCTCCTCCTCCTCCTCCTCCTCCTCCTCCTCCCTCCCGTCCCCCGCCCCTCCCTCGACCGTCCTCCCTCTCGGGAGGCGGGAGGGGCAAGAGGGGGAGGGGCGGGGTGGGACCCGCAGGACTGTCCACCTCCGAGCCGGCGGTAGTCGCCGCCGACGCCGTCGTTGCTGCTGTCGTCGTACTGGCTGTCGTCGTGACGGCCGTCGTTGCTGCCGTCGACCACAGAATTGTCTTCGCCCTGATTGACGGCATCAGCGTCGTCGCCGTCGCCGACAGCGTCGTCGTAGATAAGGCAGAGTGGGAACGGGAGGATGAAGGGGGACGAGAGGAAAGAGGACAAGCTAGGCACTGTCGCGCTATATATGATATCCTACACGTCCCTCCCACCGCTTTTCGTTGTGCTTACTGTAGTTCTTCCGATTCGCCAATCTATGTATAGAATCGCACCTTGATCGTCCCATTCTAGTTCGGAGTCCGAGGGGGCCAGAGCCAGGCGAAAGGATGGAGGCGGGGGATGAGGATGACTAGGGGGAAGGTAAAAAAGGAGAAGGAGGAGGTCAATAATGACGACTAGGAGGCGGAGCGTAAGAGAAGACGGCGCCGTCCTGACCGATCGCCCGCCTTTAACCAGGGCGCGAAGACGCCCTATATCAACAATGGCACGCTGCTGCTCGCGTGCTGGCAGGCGCACAGTCAGCCCCACAGCTTGTCCGAGGTCTATGGCTCGGTCGGCCGACATGGGTGCTCAATTCGTTCAAGCATCTTGCGACAGGAGACGATGAGCTTGATGCGTAGCGGCAATAAAGGAAGGACCAGCATCGAGTCCGAAACGGCCCTCAATCGAGGCTGGCAGCATGCAGCAAAGGGCTAGGGAGGAGAGGTGGTGGAAGGGGCGACAGGAGAATGCAGTGGCCAATAGCTGTGCGTTGCCCGTGGCAGCCGAAAAGACGCAATGGCTGCCTCTGAACGCTTGTGTTCGCAAACCGCCCACCCACAGACGACCTCGACCTCGCGACGACGGACGATCACGCCACTGGAATCTTCTGAAGCGCATCTTGACGCGAACCGATGCGCGCATGCGACGCGCCGCTGGGAACAAATGTCACCCTGCTCCCATAATTGGAGATCGAACCAGCCCCGCCACCTGGAAAGGTATGCCGAGGAGCAGAAAAGGAGCAATGAGAAAGGGCCAGAATCGAGCAAAGGACCAGGGGGGGAGCTAAAGAAACCAATGGGGGGGGAGGGGGGCGGGGCAGAGAGTGAGTTCAAGGCGCCGTCCGTGGTTCAAGAGAAGAGGGGAAGGGATGAGGAAGGAAGAGGACCTTCTCGGGGCCTTCCCAAACCGACTCCGTCGGACTAAAATGGCTGCCACTCGCCATAAGCCAGGCACTAGCTATTGCATATTACATCACAATTTCCCAACCGATCCGAACGTTCGACACATAAATATCCGCCTCTGTGTCGCCATGTGCTGCGTCAGCATGCAATTTCTGGGCCCCAGTACCGTCGAGACACGACTCAGGATGAACAGCTGGTGCCAAGGCGGAGGTCAAAAGCTCCAGTAGCCAGCGGCTCGATACATCCGAGTCGTTGGAAGCATGGCTCCGAGGCGGAAGAGGGCCAGGGTCAGCTCAAAGTTGGCACCAAGACCCCTCATGGGCGCCGTCCTGTCAAGCTGCTCGAGCCGCGTCCAGCTTGGCTGCGAAGGCACACTGTCTTGACGACTAAGCTCAGGCGAAGGACACCTCCCAGCGCGCTCTCGTTCGAGAGCGCTGCGGACGGCGGCGTCGGAGGCAGCGGCCAACCGATCCCAAACGGGCCAAGGACCTTGTGCCGCCTCCTGTCGTAGGGCTCCACGGCGATCCTGTGGTAGTCGACGCCCAGCTCCCTGCAGAGAGACACCGCCTCCGCCCGCAGAGAGCGACGGCGACGACGATGGTAACGGCGACGAGACGACGAAGACGGCGGCGGCAAAGATGAAGACGACGACGACCTCGACGATGACGATATCGGCGGCGACGATGACGAAGACGGCGGCGGCGACGACGACGGCGACAGCGAATACGGAAGATGACAGACGACGGGCGACGGACGACGGCGACGACGGCCGACGGACGAGGGACGTCGAGCGACGGACGACGTCGATGAAGACGACGGACGACGACGACGACGATGACGACGACGACGGACGACGACGATGACGACGGACGACGATGAACGACGACGGACGACGACAGATCACGACGACGACGACGACGTTGACGACGACGACGACGACGACGACGGCGGCGGCGACAGCCACGACGGACGACGGACGACGGACGAAGACAACGAACGACGGACGACGGCGACGATGGACGACGGACGACGGACGACGGCGAAGATGGACGACTGACGACGGACGACGACGGAGAACTGACGACGGACGACGGACGAGGGACGTCGGACGACGACGATGAACGACGACGGCGGACGACGACGACGACGATGACGACGACGACGGACGACGACGATGACGACGGAAGACGATGAACGACGACGGACGACGACAGACAACGACGACGACGTTGACGACGACGACGACGACGGCGGCGGCGGCGGCGACGGACGGCGACAGCCACGACGGACGACGGACGACGGACGACGGCGACGACGAACGACGAACGACGGCGACGATGGACGACGGACGACGGACGACAGACGACTGCGACGACTGACGATTGACGGCGGACGGCGACAACGATGACAACGACGACGACGACTAAGAATGTGGCGGCAAGGATGACGACGACGACGACCTCGACGATGACGATGAAGTCGGCGCCGACGATGACGAAGACGGCGGCGATGACGACGCCGACAGCGACAACGGACGACGGACGACGGCGACGACGGACGACGGACGGCAGACGACGGACGACGTCGACGACGACGACGGCGACGGCGACAGCGGCGGCGGTGGCGGCGACGGCGACGAAGGAGAACGGACGACGGACCACGGACGACGGCGACGAGGGAGGTAGGAAGACGACAGACGATGGACGACGGAGGACGGCGACAAAGGACGACAAACGACGATGCCAGCGACGACGACGATGACGACGACGGACGACGACGTTGACGAAGACGGCAGCAGCAAAGATGAAGACGACGACGACCTCGACGATGACGATGTCGGCGGCGGCGATGACGAAGACGGCGGCGACGACGACGGACGACGGGTGACGGACGACGGCGACGACGGACGACGAAAACGACATAAACGACGACGACGATAACGACGACGACGACGACGACGACGAAAACGACGACGACGACGGACGACGACGACGACGACGGACGACGACGACGGACGACGACAGAGGACGACAACGAAAGACGACGGACGACGACAGCGGACGACGACGGACGACAGGGGATGTCGACGATGACGACGAAGACGACGACGGCGAAATCGACTTCGGATAACGGACGGCGGGCGACGGCAACGATGGACGACGGACGACGAAGGACGGCGACGACGGACGAGGGACGACGACGACGACGATGACGGCAACGACGACGATGACGACGACGCCGACGAGGGACGACGACGACGACGGACGACGGACGACGGACGACGACGACGACGACAACGACGACGGACGACGACGGACGAAGACGGACGACGACAGACGACGAGGACATTAACGACGGCGACGACGGCGACGACGATGGCGGCGGCGGCGACGGCGATTGTGACGACGACGACGGCATCGACGGACGACGGACGATGGACAATGAACGACGGACGGCGGACGACGACGACGACGACGGACGACGGACGACGGACGACGACGACGACAACAATGACGACGACGACAGACGACGACGACCGACGACGACGACGGCGGCAAAGGCGGCGGCGGCGACGGCGGCGACAGCGACCACGGACGACGACGGACGACGGACAACGGACGACGGCGAGGACGGACGACGGACGACGGCGTTGATGGACGACGGACGACGGACGACGGACGACGGCGACGACCGACGACGGAGGACGACAACGACGGGCGACTGACGACTACGACGACGACAACGACGACGACGACGACGACGACGACGACGGGCAACGACGACGACGACAAAGACGGTTTTGCTGTTTGGGAGTTTGTGATTAGCGGTTGGTGTTTAGGGTTTAACGTGATGGGGTTTGGTGTTTGGGTTTGTGTTTTTGGGGTGATGGGGTTTGGTGTTCGTCACGGTTTTCCATCGGCTGTTTTGGTAGGTCACCCGGAGGGAAAACCCTTTTCCTGGAGAGTGAACAATTTTCCTGGAGACTGCATGACTATATGACCACCAAGGTACCTGCTACATCGCTGACATCACAATGTCAGAGAGAGGCTTGATCTGACTGTGACAAGCGGGGCGAGGGCAGAGGTTGCCTCTCTATCCTGAGGAAAAAGCACCAGCTCTGGCGGCCTCCTTCTTGGCCTTGATTTTCGCACGCAAGGCCGCCATCCATGCGAATCTCGCAACGCAAGGCCGAGTTGTGATTCGAACGAAGAACGCGGGTGACAGACGGAGCTGGTGGCTCCTGAGCAGGAAGAACGGACAGGAGCGCGGCAGCAACGTCGGTACTCCGGGCCATGCGTTTGTGCGTACCGATACCACGCCTGAAATTACGGAGCACCTCGAGACCCTTCAGGGTCGGCAGCGCACAGGGGGCCCGAAGGTTATCCCGACGACGCTGCTAGGCCCAGGCTCCACGCTGAAACCGCACAAAAACGGGAGCTATGCAAGCCGGCCCTGCACTGCTCCAAGACAACGCGTCTGAGAGACCGCAACAAGCTGGTGTCCTAGTGGGTTAGCTATGAAATCCTTCAGACAATGCGGGCGGCCACGACACCCTAGCATGAGCTGATCTCTGCCTGGTTCCAAGACGCTAAGACAATTCCTGCACTTGGTGCCAGCAGGTCCTACACCGATCGTGCCAGTTTGCACGCTGCGTGTGTTTGGACAAAGAAAAAACAGGGAGCCTGGAAACCATTCCTCCTGCTCAAAGCACGGAAGAACAGCGGCGCAGAGTTTTGCGAACTGCTGAGCGTTACTTAACACAGGCGCTCACAATCCTTTCAAGGAGATCAGGAGAGGATGGCGGATGAAGCGCAACCGCTTTTTTGGCAAGGGCGCCAGCGACCACGCTGGCGTCGGTGACGCGTCTCTCCTCGGCTGAGAGCGCACTGTGCTGCTCGCCAGAATTTCGGGTTTTGACGTGCAGCGCGTGGTCGATGCAGTGGTGGCCGCGCATGGAATGGGCAAAGCACTGCGCGCAACAATACAATGATCTCGCCAGCAGCTGCCCTGCCTTGGACTCGATCGCCTCATTGTCCACCGCCATAGAATCTGCGCGCGCCGTGGACGGTCTGTCCGCGATCTGTCCGACGCAGGCCGTACTCAAGAAGTCCGCCATCGCAGAGGTCTGTGGCATCGCCTGAGAAACAGCACCATGCAACACCGCCACTGGTTTGTCCGAAACAGGGTCCATTAGCACAGCAGCACATCCAACTCTCTGGAGAACGGCCAGCAAAAGCTTGCTGCATGAGCCAGCCACTGCGAACTCGAGTCGATCAGCGTGTATGACAGGTTGTGCGTCGATATCCTCTCCACTCGGCGGAACTACCTGAACGTGAGCTCCAGGATCCCTGTCTGGTACATCCGCATCCAAGTACGTAAAACAGCCTTGGCATAATATGCGTTCATCTGAATTGCCGAGGCCGTCCTGGATGAAAGCTGCGGAGACTTCAGCTGCCAACGCGTCCTCATGCACGTGAATAGTACGTGGTGAATCGCATCAGCAGCTCCGCGCTGACATAGACCATCTGTCTGGCATCCACACATCCTCGCCCGCTCGAGGTCAGTGACCACCAAACGCCGATGCCCTCATCAGAAAGTACTAATGCCTGGTGAGACGTTGGGCGCGGGGTCTGACGGATCCACGAATAAGGTCGAACGATATGCGAGAACCAGGAGGGGCCTGCCACTCCCGTGCAATATCCGTCGCAATGCATCTCTGCATGGCCTTGCCCATGAGGTCCTCGAATATGTCAGGCGCAAGCTGCTCCAGCGGCATCTCGACTCCACGGTGGTCCTTCCAAACAGTACTGGGAACATCGTGCCATGAGACTCTGTGCGCACAAAGAACTGCTCTGGCAAGCGGTCCACGGCCCTGGTTCCACGTGAGCTTCTCCTTCGGCAAATCAGCGACGGCCTTGCCCCGCCGCGACTTGAGCACCTAGAGGGGTACCACCGCCGTAGCGGGTTGAGATACTGCCGTTTATATCATCCGACTCCATTGAATCGCTGGCGCCACTGCCTGTCGGAGCGCTGGGCCCCCGTTGAGTGCAAGCTTCGCTGCGAGGGAGACGCCGCCATGAAACGGCTTGACTCGCATGCAATAGTCGCGTCGGAGTTGATGCAGCCCGACATCGTTTAGCCCCGGCAGCTCGACGCTATAGGTTTGAGAGCAGGTCTAGCTCCAATCCGAAAATCCTGTCAATCCTCTGCCCCTTGGCCTCGGGCATGGCACGCTTGTGACGCTTGAACTTCCTCATTCGTTGCTGGTGCGTGCGACGACGAATAAACATCGTGACCCTGGATCTCGACGCACAGCGCGCTCTCGCAGCAGCCCGATCTGTCCCGCGATAAGTTGCCGAAATGACCGCGGCCTTCTTGGAGAAACCAGTTTGCCGGCCACTTCTTTGGCGAGCGCTCTGGCGATGGCCACTGCAAGTTTGTCGTTGATCTTAGCACCTAGTACTGCAGTCGCGACAAGAAAACCCTGTCCCGCCTCGAACGCCATCTGGATGACAGCATTCCTGTCCGAACTCTCCACTCCCAAGCTCGCGTCGCCAATGTAGCTGGCAAAATCAACTAAGGGGCGGAGGGCAATCTGCGCATCGCACTGCTCCGCGGCATGGACCTTGATCGCGACGTCTGCATCCAACGGGGATCCCATGTTCAGCGCGAGGAGGTCGATTGCCGTGATGCCCCAGCAGACGGATGATCCGAGGGGCGCGCTAAGTGTTACAGGTGAGCTTGACCAACGCGGATGGAGTGCCGAAAGCCACGGACTTATCTCTCAACTGCGCCAGCTCGACGTGCTCTAAATATTTCGAATAATCTGCCAGAAAAAAAAACGACAGAGATCCGTTCAGCTGCCAAGCTCGACTCGGCTCTGGCCGCTAACTTCCATGCACTGTCGATAGGGCTGCGACCCTTACCTCCACCTCAGAATTTCCTGTCCAGAACCTGGGGAAGGTTGTCGTACTCCGAGCGCCTGAGACATTGCAACGCGCGGTAGACATATGCGTACATAAGACTGAGAAGGTGACCACCTTGCGGCTTGGGTAGCATTGGCGTAAGCATCCAGACCACTTGTGTGGGTCGCATGTCCAATGACTCCATGGCTTCATATAGAGCGGCCAGCGCGCAATGCACGGCCACTCAGATGAAGGAGGCGACGAGGATGAAGCCCATCCAGTCCAGCTGACGTGGCGCACGGGAATGTCCCCGCTGCGTTCCGAAGCTCTTCTGTTTCGGGCCGTGGGGGATTTTTTGTCGGGAATCCAATCTCGAGGTGCAGCCGACGTGCCGCGCCATATGCTGGTGTACTCCTCCTGTATGGCAGCAGCAATATCATGTGGGTGGGCTGAATATTTCCCAGTGCGCGTGTTGACTGTGGTGGGCGCTTGCGCTGGTCTGACTTGAGTGAGCCATTGAACCACGGGCTCCACTTGCACTCGCTTGCCTGCGCCAGCATCACCACCTGTCATTGCTATCTTTGTCGGCCTCCTTGAAGGCTTGGTCGGAGTCATCTTGCCATTATGCAAGCTAGTCTCTGGCGGCATCATTATGATCATGAGAGCCAACTAGACGCCTGGCGTGCATCGCACTCGCATCGAGTCGACGGTTGACTCCTCGTCCAGGGTGCGCTGAGGTGTGCGACAAAAGAATACCATCCGGCATTTTACCCACCTGCGGTTGCTGCTGGCATCTCGAAGCTGCGCAGTCGTGGCGACGATATCACTCTGCCGTTTCTGACCACCAGCGCAAGCTTGGATACCAGTCACGCCCTTGAACTCATATTGAACGTCAGCCCAACGAGGCTGCAATAATCTGGGGTAGACCCCGAACTCGCGCACGGCCGCGCGAGTTATGCGGGACGACCTTCTCGCGGCACGTTCAGCGAATTGGCCCCAGGCAAGCGCGTGCAACCCCCGAGCTGCATCAGGGAGGGCGTTCTTTTGCAAGTGCAACCGCTTGCTCAATGCATCTCATGGGTCGACTCCATGATGCTTCTGGAAGACTGGGACTTCCAGGCACCGCCAGTGAAATCTCACGGGCCGAGCCGCACGTCCGCGCCTGCAGGCTACTGCGCAGAGGCGCCGTCCGCAGTGGGGCAGGTTGGCGAGGCTTGACATGCCGCAAAGCGTCAACCTTAACCGATCGAAAGAGCTTCACGCTGCCTCACTGAGGGCGAAGTAGTCAATCGTAGAGCATGCTGCTGGCGTCCTGCACGTGCTCTCGCTGGGCACCGCAATCTCGACGTGCGCGTGCAGAGGGAAGGTGGGCCCCCCAACGATCTCTCCGCTCATGTTCCAAGCTCCGCCAGTGACGACTGGATGCGAGAGTCCAGCAAGAGTCTTGCCGACCTCGGCAAGGATGACGCCGTTTCAGACTGTCGCGCCCTTGCTTCGCGTCGAAGCTCTCAATCGCGTGAGTCTGCGAGGCGCGCGCCGGGGGGGCCGGCGTCTTGCTCTGGCTTCCGCGCGCCTTGCGGCCACCGACCTGAGGTAAACATAAGGCACTGCTGTCAGGTCCAACCCTCGCGCGCGCCCAAGTATCTGCAGTGGGCCTGCCGCCCGCGCGTGGCGACGCGCGCCTGGCGGCCTCGACGCACCTGGGCTCACGCGGGCGCGCGAAGTCCACGCAGCCTGAATTCGGCTCGCCGAACTGACCAGGACTCTGACGCCAGCTTCCGCACCATCACAGCTCGGGGATGCCGAATTCGCCGATGTCGATCCAGCAGAAATCCTGCCGTCCACACGTGGCGACGCGTGCCAGGCAGCCTCAACGCACCTGGGCTCCGGCGGGCAGGCGGGGCCCACGCGGCCTGAAGGTGCGCCGAGCAAGCTGGCCTGGACGTGTTCTGACGCCGCTTCCGCGCCGCCAATCGCCATTCTCCTGGGCGCCGAACTTGCCGAATACGATCCAACACCAACGCCGCTGAATAACCCAGCGGAGACGAACGCGCCGATTCTGATCCAGCAGCCGTGCTCTGCAGCCTTGGCTTGGCGCGGTGGGTCTCGAGCGCGAAACCTGGCCCGCGGGGGCTCGCGTCCATTCCAGTAGCCTGATCAACCTGAAACAACATGTCAGCGCAACTGCCCGGCTTGGAGATGGACCGGCAGTCCCAGAGACAGGGGTCGGCGAGGAACTTCGCCCAGCAGGCGAGGCCCTCCGAGACAATGAACCGCTTGGAATACCAGTGGCACTGCCCGAGGGGCCACCAGCCAAACAAATCTGGGACGCCGAACTCATCGCGCGCGACCCAGAAGCACCAATAGCTCTCGAAAGAGAACCACCAATGAAACAACCTTGGGATGCCGAACTGGCCGCCGTCGGCCCAGAAGCACCTGTAGCTCTCCATGGCCACGGAGGGTGGCAGTGTAAAAGGTTCGGGTCATCGTCATCAATAGAAGCACCTGTGGGCTCGGTGCGACTTTTCTTTCTCTTCTACAGGGCGTTGAACGACTCGAGGAAACGCTGTGTTTCTTGGCCTTGTGTGCTCCACCACTTTGTATTTCCTGCCGCAGCTTCGTGGCGCCATCGAAATCGAAACGTTCTCGCTCTTCAGTGGCCCGTTTGAAGCCTGCAGTGTCAGGAGGTGGGGTGGCCGTAATTCTTCGTGTCAAAATCTCAATGTCGGGCTGCTGCTGCTTACCCTTGTTGCGCACGAGCTTCTGGGACTAGTCCAAGGGAGGGTTGGACGTGAACTTCTTGTAGAAGTCCGAAGACTCCACCTCACCCTTCACTTCTTCATCTTCAACGTCGATCGTGAACGAAACCTCCCCCTTAGCTTTGACATTACAAGACTGCGGGTGAAACTTGGCGGCGCTTCCAGCAACTTCTGTTTACAGCGCTTTGGGCTCGTTTTGTTTCGGGCAATAGCCGAAGGGCTCTTTCCCAGCAGTGTCCTGCTGAAGCTGCTCCAACTTGCGCTGCATGTCTGCCAGATTACTTTCCTGCTTGACCAACTGCTGCTCCGATTTCTTAAGCTTCTGCCGCGGTCTTGTGCGCCGTGGCAGGGGGACGCAACGCTTTCGCTTGAGCCCGAAGCTCCTCGAGAGCAGCCTTGCTGGCCTCATGTCTGGAACCACCGAACTCAGCAGTCTCCTTGACAACCTTCTCGTAGACCTCGATTTGCTTGAGAACGCTAGCCCGCTCGGACTGGGTAGGATCCTCCGTGGACTTCGTCTTGTCGTCCGCGGGCGCCTTGTGAGCACATCCGTTGGACTTGACCTTGCCCAGCTCTGCCTCTGCTGCCTTGAGGCGCTGCTCCATTTGCTGCATCTACTTGGATGCTGGGCTCGACGGGGCGATGGACCGCAGTCCTGTGCCTCCAACGCGCTTGGACGGAAGGGTACCTTCTGCTGCCGCTTGTTGTCCGCTGCACGTGTTGCAACCAATACTTTTTGGGGCGCGCTGGCACCACCACGCAAGCATTGTACAAGATTCGCCCAGTTTGAAGTTCTCCCATAGTGGCCGCATCCCCAGAATGGCTTGCGAATGCCGCGAAGCACTGATGGGGTTGGCGCCATCACAGCCACCGACCAGCGCGCAGCCTAGTCGTGGCAACGGATGTGCAGCGATGGGGCGGACCTCGATGCACTCGGCCAGGGGCTGACCAGGCGAAAAATGAATGCAAGCCGCGGACTAGCGGTATCCACTTGTTCCCCTGTGGAACTCATCACCGTGAGCCAAAATGGCTACGGACCATTTTCCGGGATAAGTACTTTTCTCTGGAGGAGGGGGGGGTCGGGGGGGGGGGGCGGGTGCATAACGTAACGCACCCCCCACGCCGTGTGTGTACGGCACCACAGGCTGTGGTGCCCGACGCACTGCGGCGGTGCCTGGGACGCACTGGGAGGGGGGGCACGTTAATTGGGGGGGATGGGGGGGGCATCACGCGCGTTATGGCCCAGAATGTAGATAACACTCTCCAGGATCGTCGCCGCCTCCGCCTCCCCTAGCAGCGAGCGCGCGACGGAGAGGGTCGCTGCGGTGGGCTCGACGCGGCGCGCCAGCATGTCCTGGAGGCACGCCGCGACCTTGGGCCGCCTGTCGTCGTCTTCGTCGTCGTCGTCGCTGCTGCTTGTCGATCGTCTCCGCCGACGCCGCAGCCGCCGCCGCTGCCGTCATCGTCGTCTCCGTCGTCGTCATCGTCGTCCCCGTCTTCGCCGTCGTCCTCGTCGTCGTCATCGTCGTCGTCAACGCCATCGTCGCCATCGTCGTCGTCGTCGTCGTCGTCGTGGTGGTCGACGTCAACGTTGTCGTTGTCGTCGTCGTCGTCGTCGTCGTCGTCACCGCCGCCGTCGTCGCGAGATTGTCGTCGACGACGACGATGGCGCCTTTCCGGGCGGTCAAGTGCGGACTGCGCGCGCAGCAACTGATTGTACTGGATCTCGCTGGGCTCGACACCGCCGCGCCGCATCCTGGCGAGCCAGGCCTCACACCTGCTCGGGAAGCTGACCTCCTCCTCCTCCTCCTCCTCCTCATTTTCCATCTCCTCCTCCTCCTCCTCCTCCTCCTTCTCCCTTCAACTCCAAGTCCAACTCCTCCTCCTCCTCCTCCTCCTCTTCCTCCTCCTCCTGGTCCTCCTCCTCCTCCTGCTTCTCCGCCTCCTCCTCCTCCTCCTCCTCATTCTCCCACTTCCTCCCTCTTGCTCCTCCACATGCCTCCTCCCTCGCCTCCTTCCTCGTTTTCGTGTTACCTCTTAGCCCTCGCCTGCCAGGAGGATGAGGAGGAGGAGGAGGAGGAGGAGGAGGAGGGAGAATGATGATGATGATGATGATGAGGAGGAGGAGGAGGAGGAGGAGGAGGAGGAGGAGTTCGACGAGGGCGAGGACGAGAGACGACGGCCGACAGCGACGGGCCACGGACGACGGCCGACGACGGCGACACCGACGGCGACGATGGCCGACGGCTGCGTGCGACCACGGCGGCCAATGACGCTGGCAACGGCTGGCAGAGACGGCAACCGTGACGACGAAGGACGACGGCCAGCGACGGACGACGAAAGATGACGGACGACGAACGACGACAGCTCCCCCGTCGTTCGTCCTCCTCCTGCTCCTCCTCCTCCTCCTCCTCCTCCTCCTCCTCCTCTTCCTCGTGTTTAATTATCCTCCCTCTCCCTCTCCTCCTCCTCCTTCCTCCTCATCCTCACTTCCTCACTTCCTCACTTCCTCCTTCTCCTCCTCCTTTTCCTCCTCCTCCGCATGACGGACGGCGGGCGACGGACGGCGGACGACGGACGGACGATGGACAACCTCGGACGACAGACCAAGCGCACACGGAGGGGAGGACCTGCTGGGGTCGCCCGCCTCCGCGCCCCGACCGCCGTGGCCGTCGAGGAGTGCGCCGTAGGACCGGGCGTCCGGGGCCAGCGCGGCCAGGGTCATGCTCCTGAGGGCCGTCGTCGTCGTCGATGTTGTCGTCGTCGTCGCCGCCGTCTTCGTTGTCGTCGTCGTCGTCGTCGTCGTTGCCATCGTCGTCGTTGTCGTGGTCGAGGTCAACGTCGCCGTCGTCGTCACCGCCGCCGCCGTCGTTGCGCAGTCATCGTCGGCGACGTGAGGATGATGATCAGGAGGGAAAGGAGGAGGAGGGTCGAGCCTCGACCCTCCTCCTCCTCCTCCTCCTCCTCCTCCTCCTCCTCCTCCTCCATCGTCAGCCGTCGAGGATCGAGGCGTTGGACGCTGCGGGGCCTTTTGGCGGCCTTCTGGGGCGCCCTCGTGGCCAGGGCTGGATCCGCCCCGACTTTATGCCCACATCGCGATCCAGGAGAGGTCTGGGGCTCGACTCCCGAGGGGGAGTGGGAGGGGAGGAGGGGGAAGAAGACCCAGACCCCGAAGCGTCGCCGAAAAGATTACGACTGACATGATTTCACGATCACGATCTCGGCATCTGGGGACTGTTTTCGGGCCCGAGGCTACCAGACAACGGCACGCGACGAAAAAACGATCCCAAGGATGGGTCAAGAGCTCCAGGGACCCACGTCACAACAGAAAACACGGCGGAAGCCCGGGGACAGGAAGGACCAGAGCAAACCAACGATACATCTGGGATGCTTCAACAAACCCTCCCGTGCCAAGCCCTCATAAGCCCCAAGCATATGTTTCACGAATTCGCGCGAGCCCCCTGTTGAAATTAATCCGCATCAACAGTTCAACGATCAGAAATGGAATGCTTGCCAGCGTATCTTACGCTCTTGATGTGCCATCTATTTGCGGTGCGAAATCTGTGTATTGTGCAACCTTAAATGCTATACGTGTGACCCTGCATATGAGATGCAGTGTACGTGGTGCAATGTATGTGTTCAGACTATGTGGTGCAGAAGCGGTGTGAAGAGCTCTTTTAACTGCAATGATCCAGCAATAATCCTCGAGAGGTTTCTGGGCAGATCTCATCTGGCGCAATGACGCAATTGGGTTCAATCAGGGTGGGTCTGGCGAGGTTTCGCCACGTTGCCGCCGATGGCCGCCTCGAGGCCGCCTCGTGCGCTCGGTGGGTCCGGCGAGCTTTCGCCATGTTGCCGCTCGTTGCCTACTCGTGGCCGCCTCGTGCGCTGGGTGGATCCGGCGAGGTTTCGCCACATTGCCGCTCGTTGCCGCCTCTTGCCGACCTCTGCGCTGGGTGGGTCCGGCGAGCTTTCACCACGTTGCTGCCCATGGCCGTCTCATGGCCACATCGTGCGCTGTGTGGGTCCGGCGAGGTTTCGCCACGTTGCCGCTCGTGACCGCCTCGTGGCCGCACCACGTATGCTGCACCATATAGCTTACACCACATAGCTGGCACCATATAGGTTACACATCCACAAAGCAATCACTTTACTGTTTGGGGTCTACGTTGGCTAACAGACCTTCTGGAGATTTTTGCCTCATTGTCGCGTTCTCGCCTTTTCGGACGTCTGTAAACCCAAACGGCGCGAGAGGCCCACCAGACTGGCCCAAGACGGCCAAAGAGGCCCCCAAGAGGGCCAGGATACGGCTCAAGAGGGCCCCAAGACGGCCTAAGAGGCCCCGAAGACGGGAAAAACCTATTAAGAGGTCCCAAGAATGGCCCAAGAGATGGCCAAGAGGGGGAACCCGCACGGACCTCGGGAACCCTCCCCCACAAGATGGCCTCCAAGACCCCCAACATGGCCCCAAGAAGTCCCCAGACGGCCCCCCAAAGCCCCTGGGGGCCTAGAGAAAACGCTAAGAGGCCGCCCCCTGGACCTCCAAGACGCTCCCAAGAAACCCCGCAACAGACACGGAGGAAGCGGAGGACGAATCATAACAACTATACGCAGGCAAACAACACGCACGAAATAAGCAACTGCCCATGTTCTCTCCCGGGGGTCGGAAATTCAAACACTGGCAGCATTTGTCGGGAAAGCATTGAGATTCCACATGTGTCTGAACACCTCCGTGTTGAAAAAGTAGGAAGAGAATGAGAGGGAGGCTGGATCAAATCCTGAAGCACGCCTCTGCCTTGGCCATCAGGCCCGCCTTCGCGTAGGCGCTGATCAGCGTGGTGAGCGTCACGGAGCTCGGCTGGACGCGCTCCGCGCGCATGCGCCGCACCCAAGCCTCGGCGCTGCGGAAATCTCCTGGGGCGACGGGGCCGAGGGGCCCAGGATGATCGGCACCACCCCGTATGCCCCTCCCCCAAGCTCAAACTTCTCAGCGTTTCGGTCCCCAGGGACCTCCCGAAGCCCCCGCGGGACACCAAAACGATCTGGACACCGAGCGGTTCGGAAAAAACATCGGGGCCACCGACTCGAAAAGATCGAGACGTTGAAGGTGTGAGGAGAAAGAGGAAGGAGGAGGAATGAGGGAGGAGGGAGGAGGAAGAGGAGGAGGAGGAGGAAGAGGAGGATCAGGAGGAGGAGGAGGAGGAGGAGGAGACGGAGGACAGGGAGGAGAAGGAGGAGAAGGCAGGGGGAGGGAGGGAGGGAGGGAGGGGGAAGAGGAGATAGAGGAAGAAGCTGCCCGCAGCGGGGTCGAAGCCAACCGGAAGGCGGATGAAGAAGAACAGGTTGCGGCCCACGCTTCTGAGGGGGGGCTGGCCAAACGAATCAAGATGCAGATGAGATCGCCAAGCCCACACGAATCGCGGTACTTCCTGGAGCATTGCCAGGAAACCACTTGCAAGCGAAACTGTGAAATGATGCACTGTTCGAATGGGAGGGTGAGGCACAGGGGAGCGGGCGAAGGAATGATATGAGGTATAGGGAAAGAGGAGGAGGAGGAAGAGAAGGAAAAGGAGGAGGAGGAGGAGGACAGGCAAGACAGGGAAGAGGAGGAGGAAGAAGGAGGATGGTGATGATGATGATGCTGATGATGATGGTGATGATGAGGATGATCGACCGTGTCTGAGGGGCAACAGTCCGCCAACACGCTTAATGGTCAGTGGCGTGCACAACTGCTGCTACCGCGGTCTGTTGCCGCAAAGGGTCTGCCGGTATTCCGTGAACCACCGACGCCCTGAGCTTATGGTAGGTGTGGAAACAGAGCACGCCTAGGCGCATCGCGGTTCGGCGGCAAAACGCACAGGCTGAGCAGTTGTATCCGCTATCGGCTCCGAGGCCGAGGATTAAAAGTGGTGAAGAAGGCAAAGAGAGGAGTTCAGCGAGGATAGGGCAGAACTGGTAGTGAGAGGTGGAATCCGTCTCATCGCGGCATCAGAAGAGGCACGCGGAAACACCGCAGACATGCATGCGATGCGAGGTCGTCCACCCTCCTGCGAGGGTCTTGAGCAGTCTCCATTGCCAGGCTGGCCCGAGCGTGCGCAACACAGCGAGACAGTCCCCCCACCGCTCACCCACCGCCCCGCTAATCGTCGCGGCGAGGCCCCAAGCATGCAGACGCTTGGAGGCCGTGATCTCGAAAGAAGGAGGAAAGAGCGAGGCTCGAAGCGAGGAGGAGTGGATGCGGCGCTGGACCTTTCCCTTGCGGGCTGCTCCCGCAACCGTGGTCTGCTCGTCGCGTGCCGCGGCCAGTGCGGGGCGCAAGCTCGCAGCAAGGATATCATTAAAAGGCGGCGACTCGGCAAGGTTGGCAGAGCGCTGCAGAAAGCCCTGCTTTATCTTCAAGCACGGCGCACTCTGCTGGCCCTGGGGTCAGCGAACGAGCGGAATGGACTGGATGGCCGTCTCCAACCACTCTTGCAGTTGGGGTTGCCAACCTCGAAGGGCGCGGTCGCCGCGCCTCCAAAGGCTTGAGGAATTCATGACGAGCTCAGAAGCAAGGGCCACCAAGCCATGTTCCTTGAAAGCAAATCAGCCAGCCTTGCGAGCGTACTGGGAGGGAGCCTCAGGGCCTTGTGGAAGGCACATTTTCTTTGTGCAAAACAGCGCGCGGCAACGGAAGCAACTGCGACAGGTAGCTTAATGTGGAAAGAATCTTGCTGCTACACGAGCGAACTGACACTGGCAGGGCTGGCAGCGAACAGGATGTCGCAAGTGCTGGCCCGCCATTTGCGAACGGCTTCGGCCCAGGCTCCCAGCTCAGTGGCCTCGGGCCCGAGCTGAACACCAAGGTCTTTGGCCTGGCCTTCTATCTTAAAATCGGAGGGTGCGCCGCTGGATCTCCCCAAAGGGGGTGGGTGGGCCCCCCCCCCGCCATTTCCCCGATCCGTCGTCGGGGACCCCCCCCCCTTTCCCGATCTGTCGTCGGGAACCCCTTCCTCCCCTCCTTTGGCCGCCAAGTTCAAACCCCTCCCCCCCTCCCCCCCCTTGGCCACGGCGCCCCCGGGCTCCGGACCCCGACCCCTGCCACCCCTAACGTTAATCGCCACCTTAACTCTCACCCGAACCCTAACCCCGAACCCGAACCCTAGCCCAAACAGCACTCACTACTCATTACGGATTACTCACTGCCCACTACTCACTACCCGCTACGAACTACTCACTTCTCACTACGCACTACTCACTACTTACGACTTCCTACTCACTACCCACTACTCACTACCCACTTCCCACTACTCACTACTCCCTACTCCCTACTCCCTACTCGCTAGTCGATGCTCACTATCCACTACTCAGTATTCACTATTCACTACTCACTAAACACAACTCACTACCCACTAAGCACTAATCACAAATCACCACTCACTACCCACTAGCCACGATCCGCTACTCACTACTTACACTTCACTACTCGCTACTCCCTACTCACTACACAGTACTCGCTACTCACTACTCGCTACTCCCTACACCCTATTCGCTACCCAATACGCACAACTCACTACACACAACTCACTACGCACTACGCTCCCACTATTCACTACTCAGTACTCCCTACTCACTACCCCCAACTCACTACTCACTACTCACTACCCAGTACTCAATACTCACTACTCACTAAACGCAACTCACTGCCCACTACTCAATACTCACTAAGCACTGCTCACTACCCACTGCCCACTACTCACTACTGAATACTCACAGTTCACTACTCACTAATCACTTCCCGCAGCTCACTACTCACTATCCGCTGTTCGCTACTCGCTACTCCCTACACAGTACTCACTGCTCACTACTCACTACTCGCTAGTCCCTGCTCCTTACTTGCTACCCACTAGTCACTAGTCACTAGTCGCTACGCTACTCACTACTCACTATTCAATACTCACTACTCACTACGCAATATTGACTACCCAATACGCACTACGCACTACTCACTAGTCGCTACTCCCTACGCACTACCCCCTGCCCAAAACTCAATACCCACTTCTCACTCCTCACTAATCACTACTCACTATTCCCTACTCCCTACTCACGACTGACTACTCGCTACTCCCTGCTCGCTACCCAGTACTGACTACTCCCTCCCCACTACTCACTACTCACAATGCCCTCTTCGCGACTCACTATTCACGACTCGCTACTCCCTACTCGCTACTCACTACTCACTACCCACTCCCCGCTACCCACTACTCACTACTCACTACTCACTGCGCACTATTCACTCCTCACTCCTCACTACTCGCTACTATCTACCTCACTACTCCCTAATCACTACTCACTACTCACTATTATCTACTCACTACTCACTACTCACTATCCCTAAGCCCCCCCCCCTTGCGGGAGAGGCCCCCTCCCCGGCCCCCTGTTCGGCGCAAAGGAGGGAGGGGGAGGGGGTTCGAACCCCCCCCCCTTTTCCAGCGCCAAGGGGGGGAGGGGGCCTCCCCTTCAAAGGGAGGGGGGTGGACCTCCCGCCCCCCCCTCTTAGGAAGGGGGTCGAACATCTCACCCCCCCTGTGAAAGGGGGGAACGGGGGGGGGGGGTCGGACCCCGCCCTTTTCAACTACAGGGTGATGCAATGGCGCGCTTTCTTAAAATCGCGCCATGCAGGAATACGGCTCGGCAAGAACGGGCAAATGCGTTGCTTGGCGGCGCCCGTGGGGCTCGACCAGCGCGGCGCAATGATTGTCTTGTTCGGCTGCAATCTGAGATTGGCGAGAGTCTCCGCTCTCTCAAAAACAGGATAGGCACGCGTGAAATCTTTCAGGCAAGGCTGCACGAGCCCAGCATCGTCAGCGCATCCTCCGACCACCCCCCGCAGCGACGACGACGACACCTCCGCCTCCAGATGCGTTGGAATCGGGTCCATCGCTATGGCCCATACCGTGCCTGACAGCGGGCAGCCTTGCATTGCGCCTGAGCGAGGACAGAACACGACATCCGCAGAACTTCGCAGCCTGGCGAAGCTGCGAGGGGCAAAATCCGCAGACCCTGTCGGCGCGTGGCAAAGGCTGCTCCGTGTGACTCGTCGTCGCCGTCGTCGTCGTCGCGGTCGCTGTCGTCGTCGCCTTCGCCGCTCGCTTCCCCCCCTTTCCCGAGGCCCGTCGCCGCTGCCCCTGTTTCAGCGGATTCTCCTCCTCGAGCGCGACAGCCGCAGTGAACTTGAGCAGCGTTGTAGTTGAGTCGACGGGAAGCCCGTTCCCTTTGACCCCTTCCCAGCCGGGCCGGGCCCCGGGGCGGGGGCCCGGGGCGGGGGTCGCGGAGGGGCCCCGTGGGAGGGGCCGCGGGGGTGTCCCGGGGCAGATGCGACTCCCCCATCGGGCGGTTGAGCGGCTAAGAAAAGCCGCAAGACGCGGCAAAACTGCGCCGAGATGCCCCCGAGACCCAAGACGATCCTCGAGGGCCCCGGATCGCCAGAGGTTCTGTCGAAGTCGCCAAAATAGCCGCAAGACGGCTCCAAACATGTCCAACGCGCCCTGAGAGGCTTCCAAGAGGACTTCCAAGAAGGCCCCAAGGGCAAACATATCGATTTCCCTTCAGTTTTTGAAAGTTTTCAGCACTCGCCCAGCCAGCTTCCCGACGCTCCAAGACAAGCGAAGGGGCCCCCAAGACCGCCCCAGGATGGCCTAAGAGGCTTCCAAGAGAGCCCCGCAACGACCCGAGAGGGCACCAAGACCGCCCAAGAGGCCTCCAACACAGCCGAGGAGGCCCCCAAGATGGCTCCAAGAGGCCCCGAGAGCGATCGTCGGCGTCGCCGCCGCCGCCATCGTCGTCGTCGTCGTCGTCGTCGTCATTCAGGGTCGGCGGCGCCTGCTGTAAGGCCTTCGCAATCAAGCGACGCCGTGAGCTTGAAGTACCCTGCC